CTTCACAATCACTAGGATGGCTAGAATCAAAAAATGAGATAATATCAAATCTTGTTGAGGATACATGGAGAAATTTCAACCCTCAGACATGGGTGGTATGAATATAGAATGGTGCATCCACTCTGGAAAACAGTCTGGGAGTTCTTCAAAAATTAAACCTAGAATTACCATATGATCCATTATTTCCTTCCTAAGTATATGCCCAAGAAAAATGAAAACACATGTTGTAACTAAACTAGTACATGAATTTTATAGTAATGATATTTCTAGGTGCCGATTGGTGGAAACAATCCAAATATCCATGAATGGATGAATAGATAAACTCATGTTTTATCCATCCAATGGAATATTATTTGGCCATAATAATGAATGAAGTATTGATACATGGTCCAACATGGATGTACCTTGAAAAGTGTTATGCTAAGTTACTGAAGTCAATCCCAAAGACCTTATATTTAATTATTCCATTCATTGGAAAGGCCCAAATAGGGAGATCTATGGAAACAGAAAGGAGATTTGTGGTTGTCTATGCCTGGGAATTGGAGGAGGAAGATGAGAAGATTGGGAGTGATAGCTAAAGGGCAGAAGAGTTTCCTTTTGAGACGACAAAAACGTAGAAAAAATGACTGTGATGAGCCAGTCTTGATGGCTTAGTGGTTAAAGTTTGGCACACTCTGCTTTGGTGGCCTGGGTCAGTTTCTGGGCACAGAACCACACCACTCATCTGTCAGTAGCCATGCTGTGGTGGTGGTTCACATAGAATAACTAGAAGGACTTACAGCTAGTATATACAGCTTTGTACTGGGGCTTTGGCATGAAAAAAAAAGAGGGGAAGATGGGCAACAGATGTTGGCTAAGGGTCAATCCTTCCCAGCAGAAAAAAAAATTGACTGCAGTGATGATTTCACATTTTTACAAATACATTGAAAACCATTGAAATCTACAGTTTAATGAGGTGCACTGTAGAGTATGTGAATTACATCTCAATAAAGCTATTCAAATAAAGAAATGCCTTAAGAGCTTTGTAATGCAAAAGATTTTTGCACTCCAGCCTTTTAAGCTTATGAGTTTGTAGGTTAATCAATACATCCATCACCTCACAATGTTATCATGAGCGTGTGTGTGTGTGTGTGTGTGTGTGGTGAGAATGCTTAACATCTACTCTCTTAACAAATTGCAATTATACAACATATGTATAATAAATGATCATGTTGTAATTTTAAAATAAATTTTATTAGTCAATTCAATACAGCTGGGGGGAAAATTGTTCACAAATGCATCCCTAATTTACACAATGATTTATTGTTTTTCTTATATCAGTGAAAATAGGAATTCAATTAACTTGGGGATATTTTTCACATCCCTGTAGAGTTTCTTCTGGGATGGATCCAGAAGAGCCCAGTCCTCCATGGTGAACTTCACAGTCCCATCCTCAAAGCCCACTGAGTCCTAATACATGACACATATGTATATAGGAGGACGGGTAAGATGGACAAGCACCGGGGATTTATATTCAATTCATAAGAAGTTCACACATGACTCCACGGTCTCCCAACATTTATTCTATGACTCGGTCATCAGAAGTGTTCCTCTGGCCACACTCACTTCCTCATAAATTTAACATCATCATGAAAACATGGAATCTATTGGTACGTTTTCATTGTGATCCCTTCAAGTTTTCATTGCTCTCTAATGTCAGGGTACAGAACACCTCAGAGAAATGCTGTACAAATGAAAGAAATGCTTCTATATTAGCAGATCAATTCCTTATGAGAAGACTCTTTCATCTCCTTCTTTAATACCATCATATGATGCAGCGCCCCACGAAGCACAGCATCATATCTGCGTGTTTTGTGTGTGTGTGTGAGGAAGACTAGGCCTGAGCTAACATCTGATGCCAATCAATCCTCCTCTTTTTGCTGAGGAAGACTGGCCCCAGGCTAACATCCATGCCCATCTTCCTCTACTTTATATGGGACACCACCACAGCAGGGCTTGACAAGTGGTGCATCGGTCCGTGCCCAGGATCTGAACCTGCAAACCCCGGGCCACTGAAGCAGAGTGTGTGAACTTAACCACTACACCACCCGGCCAGCCCCCTCTGCATGAAGTTTTAATGAAAATTCCTGTGAAGGAGTGGAAGCTCTTTATGCTGTAACTATCACCAAACATGACAGACCAGGAGGCCTATGGAATCCAACTTGTATCAAGATCCTACTGGCCATGTTGTCCTGAAGTACTCCAGGCCATGTCAGATCCAGCTGGCTGAATGAAAATATTCTTGTGGAGGAGTTATAATTTGGTTGTATAGGGCCGGCCCCGTGGCTTAGCGGTTAAGTGCTCGTGCTCCGCTGTTGGTGGCTCGGGTTCGGATCCCGGGCGCGCACCGACACACTGCTTCTCTGGCCATGCTGAGGGCGCGTCCCACATACAGCTACTAGAAGGATGTGCAGCTATGACATACAACTATCCACTGGGGCTTTGGGGGGAAAATAAATAAATAAATAAAATCTTAAAAAAATAATAATAATAATTTGTATAATATTTATGACAGACTCAATTTTCTCTTCTCTTCTCTGTCTCATTTCATGGAGCTAGGAAATTATTCAGTTAGAGCTCAGGCTTGAGGAAAAAGGTATGACAACTTAGAC